GTGGCCGAGTTGTGTGCGTCGGGCTGTCAGCGCCCCACCAGTGGCCGAGTCGTGCGCGTCGGGGGAGCTGATAGCCCGGCGCCGACTGTAGGGGCGATGACAGGCCGACCCACACGTCGCGAACACTGTTGGGGAGCTGATAGCCCGGCGCCGACTGTAGGGGCGATGACAGGCCGACCCACACGTCGCGAACACTGTTGGGGAGCTGATAGCCCGGCGCCGACTGCAGGGGCGATGACAGGCCGACCCACACGTCGCGGACACTGTTCGGGCGCTGATAGCCCGACCCACACGTCTCGGCCACAATTGCGGCGATACTTGTGATACTTCCAGTCATTCTCTGACACTCTTTACTACAGTAATACATGTGAAGACATTTCGCATATTTCTTCAATTGATCCGATCGTTGGACACAATTATCGCAATACTTGTCTTTGTATTTCTCGTGTATTATATGAATGATATGCATGTCTTGAGTGATCACATCCAGTGGTAACGGTTCCGACAGTTTTGGTAACATTTCTGGTCATAGATTTCACAAACAATTGAAAAACACGTGTTATAATAGGTTTTGCAAAATTTACCTGAGATTTGATGATTGGATCCGTTTGTGTGATATCTTGTGACTGAGTTTATGATCAAAGCGATGGACGAATGGTATGAAAGAGTTGTCCTTAAAGTGTCTCTCAGTTTATGGACTGATCTGTGGATTAATGCGTCAAAAGTGAGACAAAGGATTGACTCAAACCAATCACCACTTTATTTGTGTCCAAAATCTATGGCTTATTATTGGCTATAATTTGAGCACAAGTTTCAAACAACTTTGAAGAGACGGCCGTCTGGTGTCCAAAATATGTAATGTACACTATATTTGTAGTACACTATACAGATGTACACAACTCATGTGTATTGAATGCACACCAACATTATATATATGAGGGAATTATAGTCGTGATGTGTTATGTTTTATAATTGCATTGTACTTGAAATGTAATTATAATAAATTTATATTTAATTTATTTATATGTAATGAGAATTTATTTATTAGATTTAATGGCAATTATAATGAGAGACAATTTAATTGGGAAATGATGTCCGAAATTAAACATTTGTTTTGTGTGTAATTTTAATTCTTGTTTTACATTTAAAAAAATAATATCAAAGCCAAAAGTTCATTGAAAATATGGGACACAAAAAATTAGTTCAGAAATTGATTTGAATTTTAAATTATATTTAAAAAACTATTTAAATGTATAAAAAAATTGATTGAAAACAAATAACAATTTTATACTAAAGTTATATTCATTTGTATTTAGTGTTTGGTTTCAATTGATTTCACAATTAATTTGTGACAAATTTTAAACAATCAATTAATCGATGGACCGATCGATCAATTAATCTGAAAATACAGTAAAAAAACTAAAGCGAAAAATAAGAGTTTAAACAAAAATTCAACGAAAATTACAATTAATTAAAAGTAATTAAATGTTTTTAAATAAAAAAAACAGTTAAGAGAGAAAGAGAGAGAGAGAGAGAGAGAGAGAGAGAGA